AGGAAATTGAAGCGTCAAATTCAGAAAAGTTACTCGCTCTTAAAAAGTTTCAAAAATATAACAGACAACGATTGGATCTGGAGGAACGTATTCAAGACCATGTGAGTGATGTCGAATTTGAAATCGAATCCCTGCCACCAAATCATAAATGCATGGGGTTTTATTTGAAGCAAAAGTTGATACTCGAAAGATCATATACGAAGAAAAACTCAGTCAAAATAAAGAATTTTAATGAAAATAGCAAATCTTGCCCTAACCAGGATCAAAATAATGACGACAGCACCAACAACACATCAACAACAACAACAACAACGGTACCAACAACAGTGACAACAACAACAACAACAAAGCCCAAAAGGAAACCTTGTATTACTTGCATGGAAGCCATTAGGCTATAGTATTAACGGTTTATACTCTGAAGCCATTGAAAATGGGAAATCATGGTATAATGGTTTTGTTGAACTTTATGTAACACGCACCCCACATAGTATATATATTCTTGATCAGGGCGACGAGCTGTCCTGTGTTCTGTGGTTTGTGATATAACCAATATGTAGAATATATATTCATATATCTATAATATAATAATATATATATATTCATATTTATCGATTAAATATTTCTAGCTAATTGAAGAAAACTATTAGAACCCACTCAAGCTTAATTGCCGGTAGTTCCCACATTTCCCCATCAAATTTATAATTGATAGAATATTATTCAATAACTTTGTACGCATCGCTCATATATTTAGTAAACACAAATAAATATAATCCTATTCTTTACTCACTTGCTAGCTTGGAGCTGTTCCAGCTCATGGAGTACCTGCTGCCAGCTAAAGCCCAGGCGGCCGTCGTCCAACTGCAGACGACAGCGTTCGGGAATATGATTGAAAAGCTTTTGAAAGGGCGTATAGCGATTCAGGCATTTGATATCGCCCAATAAAATCAATTTGTGCTTGGCACGTGTAATGGCAACAGTTAATCGCCGTTGATCCTCGAGGATTTCAGCCTCGTGTGAACGTTCCATGCCTTGCTCGGCAGTGGTGCTGCCTGTTTTTGTACAGCTATAGATGATTAGATCCTTGTCGCGTCCCTGGTACTGATCAACCGTATTGAACTCTACGCCGGGCAGATGCTCGCCCAGTTTGCGCAGCAACTCCACCTGCGCGCGATATGGTGCAATGACACCGATGCGTGAAGCATCGTAGCCCGCCTGCAGCAATTGGCGCAACAAATGCAACACAATCGCCGCCTCGCAATAGTTACTGTACTTGGGCACACGACGGGAACGAGCTGATTGTTGTTGAGTTGATTGCATTGTTTGCTCAACGGCTTCGCCATAATGCTGTTCGATGGCGGCGCTGGTATTGCCCAGCTGTTTGGATGCATCAACATACTCCTGACAGCGTTGGGCACAATCGTCCGTGTCCAACAGAAAGACCGCTTGCTCCAAATGCGTTTGCAACGTGCGCTGCACCCAAGGACAGCACTCGGCTAGGGGCTGCAGCTGCAATTTGGCATTCTCAACCTGTTCACTGGCGCACTGGAGTGCCTGGCCGTAGGTCAAGTGGTTGGCCAGTCGCGTAATGCTGCGATTCATGCGATACTGCAGTGTTAGCACAGCTGTGGCCTCCTCACAATCTAGGCGCTGGAATAGACTCTCGTCAGCGCCGCGTAGACGCGCCTCGCGGCTGCGGACGAGCGGGGGCAGTTGTTCCGGATCGCCAACAAGTAGAAAACGGCTGCTGTGGCTCAACGCACGCAAAACCGCCGGCTGCAGCACCTGAGTGGCTTCATCCACAATACAATAGTCGAACTGGCGATGCTGGAACAGGGCATGTCCGGCACCCAGACAGGTGACGCCCACAATGCTTGGCTTTTGGAATGCTGACGTCAACTGTTCAACTGTTTCGCAGTTCGCCGTCAACTGTGCCTCGCTGATCTCCTGCAATTGCGGATGGATTCGAGCACTGCTACCCAAACGCATCAGCGGCAGATTATAGGGCAGCAGACGCAACAGTAGATTATCAACAGCGGAATGCGTTTGGGCTGTAATTATCACAGTGCGCTCCATTAGATGCAGCAGCCGCACAATGGCTACCAGAGTCTGGGTCTTACCCGTTCCGGGCAGCCCCTTGATCAGCAGATGTGTGTCGGTGGTGAGCGCACGCAAGGCAGCCACCTGCTGCACCTTATTCAAGGCGCGCAGCATGGGCCCGCCCTTGCTGCCAATGATGCGCGGCAGCATCTTTTGCTGCTTTGGCCGTCTACGGCCTATTACAATGGAGCGCAATTGGGCCGCACGTTCACTGGGCGCCAAAAGCTGCGCCAGATTCGTAAAATTGAAGCTGGCAAAGCTCTGCGACTCATGTTTGTCCACTATAAAGCTCGCCAGCGCATAACGCTGGCCAAGATCTCGCTCCAGCTGCAGGCAGAGGCTGCGCGGCTCCAGCGCTGTTATGTACCCGGCGGCAATGGCCAGCCGAGTTGTACAGCTGATGATCACATATTCGCCCAGCTCGAACTGGAAGAGGATTAATATTTGAATTGCCAAGGAAGCCAAAATTTTAAGCAGTTATTCAGATATCAACTCACGCCGCTGAGCGTTAGATTAAGGTCACTCTCCGCCTCTTTGGATAGAATCAATTTCTGTTCATAGCGTCCATCCACTAGACGCGCCTTGTGATCCTTAGGCAATTGCAGCTGTTGTATGGCGCGACCCAGCTGCTGTCTCTTGGCTGGTGTCTCCGTCCAAAGCGCACGCAGCTGATGCGATTGACGCGCCTGTTGTTCCTCGAGCGCCAACAGGCCGCACCAATGGAACACATACTCATAGTCTGCTTGATTCAGATGCTCCAGAACCTGTGGCATTAGGCGTCGCAGCGGATGCGATTCACTCAACTCCAGTTGAGGATCTGTGCTGGCAAAGCTGCAGCAGAGCGTGGCATAGGCACAATTGCCGCAGGCACTATGATGCGAAATGGGTTCGGGCAGCTGCAAGGGCTGCAGCAGTTTGTCAGGCTGTTCGGTCAGCGAGAGTGGTTCGTTGGCCACTGGCAGCTGGACATCGCGTGTTAGATAATGGGCCAGATCGTTGCGCAGCAGGATGAGATCACGTTGTTCGTTGCGACCCTCGTGCACCTCGCGCAGAATGCCTTCGCGCAAGTAGAGCAAAAGGCCACTGCGCGTCTCCTGACCCAGAGCCGAGTGCATTAGTTGATATAGCAATAGCTGACCCTTGTGCTCCATCGAGAAACTGGCGCGTCCAGTTTTCAACTCCAAAGGAATCGGCTGCTTTCTGTTGCAAACGTGCACAGACACATCGACCTTGCCCTTGAGTCCCAGCTGCGGCACCCATAGATTTTCTTCAATATCGTGTATTTGATCAATCCGACCCTTGTACATTTCCGCCGGCTGTACCGACGGCAGCTTGCCCTCCACATATTGGGCCACAAAGTCAACAATGGGTGCCACAAATTTATGTAGCTGTAGCTCGATCTCCGCGCGATTCAGCTGCCCGGCATAGAGCTGCTGGGCCAGAGAAGTACTATGCAGCATTTGCTGCAGTGCATCCTCCACTTGTGACTTCTGGCGCAAACGCTGCGACAAAACGGTCTGCAGCAGCTCATGCACCAATGTGCCAACGATCATCTAGAAGATATGATGAACATTTAAAGCGGATCTGATTTGAATGGCACATCACTCACCACCGCGTTAGTTGAGTCAACGCCACGGAAACGATCCTGCAGCACGGCCTTGCGGCGGCAGAACAACGAACCCGTCACTGAAGTGCTTGAGATGAGCAGATCTGGATGTATAACGCAATATCCCTGCTCCTTGTTCACCACATAGGCAGCCAGTGTGGGCTGCCACTCTGCCTTGAGTGACAGCAGATCGCCCTGCTCCAGTGGCGTTTGGTTCCATGGAGCCTGCAAATGGCAAACAGCTTTTGCTTCCGCGTCTTCATCGCTGCGCAATTGCAGCACCAAATCATGTGTCCTGGGCAGACGCTCCAGCTGCAGCACCACGCAGCGTTGCCAACTACTCAGATCAATGCTCTTTGCAATTGTGGCCGCATCCAATGCACTCACATCGAAATCGTCGTCGTCGTCCAACAAAAAATCATAGTTCTCCTGATCGGTTGGAAGCGGCGGCGGCTGCACGTTGATCTCAAGTGGCTTTTTGTACTTCTTGCTTGGCGCCGACACATTGTCAGCCTTACTGGGTGACAACACTCGTTTTGCTGCTTGCATAGCAGTTTATGTTGATTTAATTGTAGTTTTTAAATAAATCCTTGCACATCATTATTTTCCCGCACATTCCATTTCAGCCGCGCCAAAATTTACAAACCAGTGTGTACACACGCGCAAATCGCATGCACATATGTTCAAAGACATATCGAACCAGCACTAGTTCGACTGAAGTAACGAAATGAACAAAGAACAAAATTCGGTGACTGGTTCCGATCAATGTTCGCTCTCTATATTGTTCTCATGAACTTGATCATTGCTCGATAGCTCATTCATTTGAGTTCGATCAGTGTTTAATATTGGCGGTCTTTTTAAAAAACCAAATTTTATTTGTTTAAATTTGTTTAAAAGATTATTCATTAGCGTGTTTGTTTATTGCATTATAAAATATTAAAGCTAAACTTTAATGCAGATTTCGCTTAAGAAACTCTTCAGTGACTATAAATGTATCGCACCTTAAGTAAAAATCCAAAACCAACTGAAACGTAAAATTGTATTATTCACACTATTCAGCATTTATAACCCTAATGACCGACACACACAATATCCTCTCATTAAACTGGCAGCTAATTGGCTAAGAGGATAACGAAAATAACACGACCATGAGATAAAATGGGCCACAAAACGAGCATCTTTACTTGGTCCCAGACGGAGAATTCACCGCCGTCACTTGGCAAGCAAGTGGAGCGCAAAAACTCGAAATCCGTAACTGCTTGTGGCTGTCAACTAAATTTCATATGCAAATCCTTGGCTCTGACTATCGCTACCTGATAATCTACTTGATTTATGCGGCTGCACACAGCCAGCCACGCCGAGAGCTAGATACCAGAGGCAGACGCAAAGGCAGGGGCAGAGCCCATGGGCCCATGGAGCCGCCACATGCGCAGCGCTAATAATGCCCAGTGCCTGTGGCATGCCGGGCACATCATTAATCTCGGCCCATGCGGGACATGCCCGTCGCAACCGCCGCGCCCGTCGCTCCTGTTGTCCGCCTGCCAGATGGCACTTGGCTGTCCACTGGTGGCCACAGTGCCACGATGCCACGGTGCCACGATGCCACGTGGCTGACCTTCAGCATAATAATTCAATGTTAGTGCCTGCTAGTCGGGCTTTGTGTGAGGCTTGGCCCAAAAAGACACGTGCTAATTGCTAATCAGTATAGATAAGGCAGCGCCCTTGCCAGCCATTAAACGATGATGCGAAGCGAAAGGCATTTTATTTTTATGACCAGTCAGTCAGTCGGACAGCTGGGGATGGAGAAGAGAATGGGTGTATGAGAGAGAGTGAGAGAATCTTTAAAGCATCCACCCCATTCGAAGCTCATTCCATATGCTTGCACTGCTTATTGCGTTCAACTGTTATTGTGGCTGCTGAGTGTTTTCATAATGGAAAGCACAGATTTTCTCACCCCCTTGGTTTGGCAGCTGACAAATGATCTCTGCTTATGGAAATAACTCAAATTGTTTGTGTGTGCAGCTTCTCCTTTCTCCCAACAAGCACTCTATGCTCGTGTATGTTATAGTTATAACCACTTGACTTTTGTCGAGGGGCACTTTTTGGCTTTTGTTGCTTCGCACTCTCTCTCTCCCTCTCTCTTTCATTTTTTTCAGTTTCATTTCTTTTCACATGTCAACAAAGCCATCAACACATTTCACACGCGCTCCTTTGTTTAAATGTCACATTACATAATGACACTTAACACATGGACGAAAAAAGAGGGTGCCTGTGTGTGTGCGTGTGGGCTGGCCACGCCCCGAATGCCATTTTATATGGCTGACTAACAAAAGGCAAACATTTGCCGGGCTGGCTGTCTTCGTTGTCGCCACTTAAATGCCAAATTAAGTGTAATTTTTATTGTGTTTACAGCACCACAACAACAACAGCAGCAACAACAACAGCAACAACAGTGAATTTAACACTTGACAAATTTGATTTTTCCTGACTGACTTCTGCTTCCTATTCCGCTGTTCCGTTTCTGCCTCTCACTTCGTCTACAGTTCTCTCACTCTCACTCTCTCTCTCTCCTTCTCTTTCTTTGGCTGGCTCATCTCTTGGCTGTCATTAGTGTTGGTTGTCGTTGCCTTGTAATTGTTCATGTAATTGTTATGCACATGTGCGAGAGATTGAGAGACACAGAGAAAGAGTGGGGGAATGGGAGAGAGACTAAAAGACAGCCAGCAAACAGTGTGTGTGAGTGCCTGCCAGAGCTAACTCGTTTGCCTGCCATTTAATGGCAGCCACTTATGAAAGATGTACTAAAAATGCCAGCAGACACGAATGTCAGCCATTTCACAAAATTGAATCAGAGCGTTTTACGAGCTTACTTTACGTATTTTATTTTATATTTCATGTACATATTTACTTTGTATATATTTATTTACTTTTGTTGCATAAATAAACAACATTTTTATAAATGCCAAATCAACTTTTGGCTAATTGACTAGACCATCTAGGAATTTAGACCACATCTTGTTAGCCAAATTGAAATTAGGCAAGAGAAAAGTTACCCACATTAAAAGGCCAACGCTTACGAACAAGACAGCGCTGATGAGCACATAAATTTCTGCTGGGAACTTTAGGAAAGTTATTTTTAAAGGAAATAATTTAACAGTTTTGAATTATTTGCTACAATGTAAAGTAATAAAATTATATAAAACGTATATATATATATATACGAATTTACGTAATATTTTTCTTTGTCCAAAATGTTGCTTTAATAATCACCAAAAATCCTATATTTGAAAGCCCAGATCATTCGGTGTTCAGAGGATCTGCTACTTGATAAATTGAAACCTGTATTATGGCTTACCTTAAATATTTTTTTAAAGGAGATATTTTAACAGTCTTAATTTCGCATTCTCACCACATAAAGTAATAAAGATAAGTAAGATGCATATATGTATATGGTAACGACTGTATGAGCTTCAAATTAATTCGTTCCTCATTTTAAATTCATTTCAGTTTATTGGATCGCGAAATAACGTAACAAATGCAATTAAGTAAATCCATATAAGTATATTCTTCGGTGCTCGGTGCATAGTTTGCATAGAGAATGTCTACAAGTAACACGAATATGAGCCGCAACTGGATTATTCTTATTTTTCTTCATGGAATACTGGCTGTACAATCCAAAAAAGTAATAGCTCGATCTAATTTAGTGTGTAAACAAATCTATCTTACATTTTTACAGACTCATACTATAATCTCATTTTACAGCATTCACAAGATGAGAAATCAATTCTAGAGAAAATGGATGCACTTATTGAGACTCAATCCGGGCACTACGAAAATAACTTTGAGTATCTGTATTTCATCACTGTGTTAATGGTAATTAGGCAATCGGAAAAGCCACTTACAGCGAAGGAATCCGAAATTGAGAAATTTCAAAAATATAACAATCGACGATTGGATTTGGAGAAACAGATGGAAATCCGTGTGAGTCGTTTAAATTTAAAAATGGCATCACTTCCTCATGGACATAAGTGCAAGAGGTTTTATTTGAATCAAAAGTTGGCACTCGAAAAATCATTTACAAAGAAAAACTCAGTTAAGCAAAAAGTTGTACGTAATAATATAAGGAGTTGTCCATATAAATATAATTCCAACGGTCAGACTGACAACAACAACAAAAACAATGCGAAAAAGAATCCACAAACAAATTCTATATTCGAACACCACCAAAACAGCAGAGAATATAACCGACACTTGAAAGAGGAACCTGGAACATCGACTAAAAATATAAAGCCTCTAAGTTTAATTTTGGAGGACCGCATGAATATACGTATGAAGTCTATTCAATTTCAAATCAGTTCCCTACCAGTAAAGCATAAATGCATTACGTTTTATATGAGACAAATGGAAGCACTCCAAGGAGCAAATAAAACGAATATCTTAAGCATGCAAAATGCTTTGAATGAAAATAGCAAATCTTGTCCATTTAAACTGATTCCTGACAACCAGGTGATCAACTACGAGGACAAGATCGAAGATAATGTTACTGATCATATATTATACTGATTATAACTTATATACTTGAGCAATTTAGAAATTCTCCGAATTTTGCAAATATATATTAATTTCCTCTATACACAACACATTCGTTTTATTTCAAAAGCAAAACGAAATAAAGCTGGAGACCCAATTGTGGACACTACCTTATCTAAACCGTAACTACATCGAATGCTCGTAAAAGTAGCTTTCATTTTAGATATTGCCTGGCTATATTTCTATAAACCCGTGGAAAGTCCTCAATTTCTTTTAGCATAGTTGAAGCCCAAAGCGAAGGATCATTATTTTTCTGTATCGAGAATTTTGGCTTAGTAAACACAATAATTCGTATACTTAAAAATACAGATCGTTCGGTATGCGGAACACCCCAACTAGAGTTGTGTTTTGATATATTCTTTGTATTAAATTAATTAGTTATTAATTATTAATTGCAATTTTCTTTACTTATTTTTATCTATAAAATTTTAATATTGCATATACACTGACATAAATTACAACAGGACTGTGTCCTTCTGCACAGCACATACACAAACACACACACACACGCACACTCACTCACTCATTTGCGGCTGACCACTTTCAAGTCATCAAAGTCACATAACTAATGTAAAAAAAAAAAAAAAAACAAACAAACAAAAAAACCAGTCAATTCTCATTGAAATGCTACTGACCAAACACACTCAAACGTTAACACACACTCAGGCACAGATGCACACACACATAAACAGAGACGTTTACACACACACACACACACACGCAGAACGTCAGTTTTTGTTGCCTATTTAGCGGCGCAAATATTTGGCTTGTCAGACCAAAATAATGCACACACACACTCCCACATACACACACACACACACACACTCACTCACTCTTTTACACACCCACACACACTCACTCTTTTACACACCCACACACACTCACACACACACACACACCCACTCACGCATATTTTAATTGCCTGGCATGAATTTAACTTAACCCCAGCATATCACTTGACTTTGCCCATGGCTCAGCCCCTGGCCCCGCCCACCCATTCATTCATTTAGGTCCGCCTTCGTGTTCGCCAACACATTTGCTCATTAGCATTATTGCCTGGCTCC